TTTGATCCCCATGTGAGGTACTTGATGGACTAGATCCGTGCCTCTCATGCTTTAATGCACACTATACACACAAATCGCTCAAACTTCTTGTTGAAAAGGTGGTTCTCTCTTAGTGGGTCTGATTTGGGGCCAGAAATTCTGCATCTCTAATAAGCTCCGGAGCAATGCCAATACTGCTGTTCCTTGGACCACACCATGAAAAGGAAGCACTAAATGATATCTATCAAAGGTCTTTTTCAACTTTAGATGCCAAATCCTGGGGTTTCAGTGGAGTTCCTATGGGGTCACTGAGAAGTCTATAAGATGGTCCTAAATCCTGATGAGAAAAGTTAAAAATGTCTAATAATCACATATATTGCCCTTCTTCAGGAAAATGCAATGAGGAGGAGAAAAAGAAACCTAACATTAACTGATGAGCAGCAAGTGTGATGTTGAACATCTCCTTGTCTTGGGTCAAGAGAAAATTATTTTGTTCGTTTTTGTGCTATGGCTTTCTCTCCCTCTCTCCCTTTTCTTCCAGTAACCTTGACCCCTCTCCTCCACACACATTCAGTCAGGAAGCTTCCGTGCTTACATAAATTTTGCTTTTATTCATCAACCATCATTCAGAAACTTACAGCTGTACTGTTAAGAGAAAAGGAAAAAAGACACTGACCCTGCCTGTAATGAGATGTACAAAAACATACTGAAAGCATAGCTCTGTTCTCAAGGAAGGGTGGGAGGAAATGTGGACTTACCCTATGTGTTCCCAAGATATCCTAAGGCTTTAGCCACTAATACAGGAGACTTTTTTTTTTCCAACAAGAACTCATCCCTACATTATTCATATTGTATCTACAGTTAAGGATGAATGATTCTTAAGCCTTCAGCTAAGATATGAATCAAAAATTTCCCCTAAGTTTAAAAAATAATTGGCTAGCTTAGAATCTATTGTTGTGGGCTGGGTTTCATAGATCTTTTTCCTTCTTTTCTCTTTAGGATGTAAGAGGTACATAAGAGATACACTAACTTAGAAAGGCAAAAAACTGGTATCTCAGTTTTCTGATATCTCTTTGTTTCCATGTTCTGTATTCTTCAAGAGTACATATGAAGGAGAATGATCTCAATTTCCCACTTCATTTTGTAGATGAATATCCAGTTTAACAAAAGGAAAGACTTCAAGAATATTCATGTTACAGTGGGCGAACGCATGTGGAAAGTGTTTCTAAGATATTGCTCTCTGTAAAATTTCTGAATCCATTTTCATAAGCCTTAGGTCAGATTCTTTGAATTATTTGGAAACAACTAATGTCTAACATAAATTCAAAGGCCTTCAGCAATTACAACAAAGCAAACAAATGAAACGAGGGAGAATCCAGCAGGGTGTGAGGGCTAGAATTGAAACAGTTATCCCTTCCTGGGGAAGTTTTCCTTTGAAAGAACATAGTTAGAGCTATGAGGGAGAAAGGATCCATTTAGCCAGTGTAATCAATTCAAAGGGTCAACAGTGTAGCAGATGGTATGGACAGGTGACCTCCAGTTCCATATATTTATTGCTGTATAACGATGACCCTAAAACTCAGTGGTTTAAAATAATAGTTCTTTTTATTATATCTCACAATTTTGTGGGTCAGGATTTTGACCAGAGGGTATGGCTATTTCGTGTGGTGTCAACAGAAGTCACTTGGGTAGGCAAGCTCATCTGCAGGATCAATGGTGGTGTCACTCACATAGCTGGCGGTTGACAGGAGTGGCTGTAAGGCTAGGCTCAGCTGGAACTGTTAAGCAGAACACTTTCATGAAGCTTCCCCACGACGTCAGCTTCAAGGGTCGGTCTTCTTCCAAGAGCCAGTGTCCCAGCAAGCAGGGAGGAATCTTCGTGGCCTGTAAAGACCCAGCTTTGGAGGTCACACAGCATCGTTTCCTTGTACCATTTTTGTCGGCGTAGTCACAAGCCTGCCCATTTTCAAATGGAGATGATATAGACCTTATCTTTGGAAAGGAAACTGTCAAAGAATTTCTGGCCATCTTTAAAAACTGTCACACCTGGCTTGGCGCCTGTGGCTCAAGTGACTAAGACGCCAGCCACACAGTGACTAAGAACCCGCCACCTTAGGGGGCTAGGAATCTAGACCGGGCCTGCCAAACAACAATGATGGTTGCAACCAAAAAAAAAAAAAAAAAAAAAAACAGCCAGGCGTTGTGGCAGGAGCCTGTGGTCCCAGCAACTTGGGAGGCTGAGGCAGGAGACTCGCTTGAGCCCAGGAGTTGGAGGTTGCTGTGAGCTATGATGCCACAGTACTCTACTCAGGGGCATAGCTTGAGGCTCTGTCTCAAAGAAAAAGCAAAAAAAAACAAAAACAAAAACAAAAAACAACTGTCACGGGGCAGCGCCTGTGGCTCAAAGGAGTAGGGCGCTGGTCCCATATGCCGGAGGTGGCAGGTTCAAACCCAGCCCTGGCCAAAAACTGCAAAATAAATAAATAAATAAATAAATAAAAATAAAGAATGATGTTTAAAAAAAAAAAAAACTGTCACACCCGAAAACCCATGAAATATTCTTAGAAATGGTGGAGCTCAGTAGTAGTAGTAACAGTGACACAACTTTCTGAAAAAACACTAATGTATATATTTTTAAAAAGTGAGTTTTATGGTATATGGATTATACCTTAATAAAAATATATTCTATTAATAACACATGATCCTTGTAAAAATTTGAAAACAAGTCCTATTAACTGAAAACCTTTAAAAATACGTTAACTAGCAAGGGAAGTTACTATACATATGTTGAAAGCACAACCTAATGTATATTTTCTACCATGTGTGTTGACAGTACCAGCAAGAGTGAAGTATTAAATTCTGCAGTCAGGCAAATGGATAGTGAGTTAATCTTTGCCACTGGTTCCCACTTATTATCACCACGCCAGCCACCCTCCCTAAACTGCTCATTAAAATGTCATGGAAAGAATGTGACCCAACCTCTATGGCCTTGCTTTAATAAGACTATCAGCACCACCAAATCAATATGTAAACTCACATATTCCATTTTATCAACTACAGTGTTTGCTTTGAAACTCATTTGAAACCATAGCACCAAAAACTACCACCAAACTGTAAATCACTTTTCATGTTTTTTAGTATTTGTTTGTTCAAGAAGGGCAGGCTCTTTTTTTGTCCACTTAAATGGTTTCCTGATCCCTAAGGCTCACATTATTTCAAAAATACAGTTCTTAAAAAATTACTCTTAGTTGTGAAAAGGCTACAAGAATGCCTGCCAATAAGTAGTACTTAAAGAATATGACTTGCTATTAATGTGCTAAGTTAATACATAAAAAAGTCTTTTAAATTCTAAGCATAAATTGGTGAAGTTCATGAATTAAGTCACCCAATACTAGGGTTGTAGCTGTGATCCAAGAACCCTTCCCATGCTCTTCTACAAGAAAATATCGTCCCAGATTTCCACCAGTGGAAATCAACATATGCTGGATTTGCCTCTGAAAATAGCAGGGACCATGGTGCTCAAAGTCATACATGAAAGGCAGCAGCAAGAACCCTGCTCTGAGTGGGGGATACAAAACACTGAAGCAGAGAAGTCACAGGGCGGGGGAGGGTATCCTCATGGCCGTCAGGGCTCCCTCTATGGTGTTCTCAGGCCCCTGTTGGCCCTAAGTGCCTTGTGATGCATGGAGCCCTCTGATGTGTCCCTCCACTCGAGCCATCACCTCTGACCATGCCTGATGCTCCCAAATTAGTCCTCCCATATCTTTCCATCAAGGCTCCAATTTCCTCATTGTCCCCTCCCCACAGACATTAGATAAGTGATATGAAATATGGACAGGATGATGCTTTGAAAATTGTACAGATCTATGTAAATGGCCTCTGTTTTTATAACTGGTATGTTAACTCTCAGTGTGGTTTACACACATAAAAAAAAGAGGCGGCAGGCCAGGTGTGGTGGGTCGTGCCTGTAATCCTAGAATGTTGGGAGGCTGAGGCCAGAGGTCACTTGAGGCCAGGAGTGAATGAGACCTCATCTCTACAAAGAAAATAGAAAAATTAGCCAGGCATGGTGGCATGCCCCTGTACTCCTGGCTACTTGGGAGGCTGAGGCAGGAGGACTGCTTGAATCAAGGAGTCTGAGGTTACTGTCAGCTACCTGATTCCATAGCATTTTAGCCTGGGCAATAGACTCAGACTCTGTCTCAAAAAGGAAAAAAAAAGATCATAATTTGTTACAGAATGGCTTACTTAAACTCATTTCGCTGGAACAACCTGAGAAAATGATTCTTTTATTTTGTAAGGCTATAAACTCCATGTAACTAAATGTATATGACAGATACATCACCTATTCTTACATGTCTTAAATAGGAAGTCTATGTAGTATTACATGATGTGGTATTTAATGCCTCATCTTTAATTGCAGGAGGCATTCTGTCATTTACCATAGAAGATAAGTGTGCAAACAACAGAAATAAAGAATGCTCAAAATTTTTTTAAATAAAAATAAAACACCTTCTGATGCTTCATAAATCATGGCAAATTAAACCAATTTAGACTTGGCCCAAAAGTCTTTATACAACATTTTAAAGGAAGAGGACATAGTCATTGGTATTGTATTTTATGTGTGCTTGGTTGGTGGCAAGTCATTTAAGGTGGCATACGTGGGGGATAAATCTGTGGTTTTATCAGTGCAAACAAGCTGGTTTGATATTAGCTGTCATCAAATAGACAGGCTCAGAAGAAATCTTTGCCCTATCCTGATGTGTGGAATCTCCCATTTCCAAGTGGTAGACATGGCAGATTAGCATTAAGCATCCATCCAATTCTTTCTAGGAGTATTCTTGTACAACAGAGGATAGGAAGATAAAATGACACTTTCTAGAGTCACTTGAAGCTAAGCACATTATTTCCTCAGTTGGCTGTAACAAAGTACCACCAGTTAGGTGGCTTAAAACAACAGAAATGTATTCTCTTACAGTTCTGGAGGCCAGAAGTCCAAAGTCAAGGTATTGGCAGGGCTGCACTCCCTCCGGGAGCTCTTTCTTCCTTGCCTCTTCCAGCTTCTGGTGGCTCCAGGAATTTTTTGTGACTGCACCGCTCCAATTTCTGCCTCTGTCTTCACATGGCCTTCTTTCCTCTCTGTCTTCCCTCCTCTTCTGTCTCCTATAAAGATACTTATCATTGAATATAGAGCCCACCCAGGATGATCTCATCCTGAGATGCTTAACATTAATACTCTTCAAAGACCCTTTTTCTAAAATGATGTCACATTCTCAGGTTCTTGGTGGACCTGTCTTTTGGGACCAGTCACCATTCAACCCACTACACCAGTGTTGCTGCATATGAATTAGGTCCATTAGATGCAGCTTGGGGAGTTGGAAAGCAGACATGAGGAAGGGACAGTCTTCCCACTTCTTTGGCTGGCAGTGTTGGCAATCACAGTTAAGAAGACCTTGGGATTTACTGAAGGGAGTATCAGGGGATGGCTTTTATAACTGTGAATTTCAAAGGCAGTTGAAGGACAATGTGGTAGCTTCCTGATCTCCAAAGTCTTATTAGGGCAAAGGTAGCAGCTCTCTTGAAGAGTCAGTTCTTTGGTATAGCTCTGGGAGTCATTCTGAGATCCAATCTAGAACCTACAATTTGGGTATTTAATTCACTGTATTAAATTACTTTGCACCTAACATAATAAGTTAGTTCTGTTTCCTGCAACTAAACCTTGCTAATACATTCCTTTGCTGCCGATGAAAATAAATTTGTAATATTTAAAACCATATCATTTTTCATTGATAGAAGCTCCATACTATCTCTTACAGTTGGCTTATGGTGACTAGACCAAAAAAAAAAAAAAATCACTAGTACAATGTAGCATAGGGGAATTTTTTAGGGTGATGAAACTGTTCTGTATGATATTGTACCAGTAGATAAATGATGTTACACATTTGCCAGAACCCTTAAGATTTCACAAAAGAAACAGTAAACTTTAATGTACGTAAATGTTTAAAAACTCATTTAGAAAGTTGAGGAATCCTCCTGAAGAACGAGACAAAATAATCTCTAACTCTATTATAACTGTATGAAACCACCTCATTGAAGGAGTGGGAGGTAAAAACACCAACATAAGTAACTTTGGGAATGAGTAGCATCTGTAAGAATAAAGCCAAAAGGAACTTTTTATTTAAGTACCATTTAAAATTTCCTTTTAAATGATTATTGTCCTTCTTTATTCTTACCTGGGATATTCTATGTAAAAGATATAAGATAGCCCTGCCCTATTCTCCCGAACAACCTACATAGCCTCACAAATATAAAATTTCTTCCTAAACTCACATAAGTGTTGTAAAGTGGTAGCCCAAGGGCCAGATTCAGCCTATAGATACATTTTATCCAGCATGCACAGTATTTTACGAATACTGGAATTAGTTGTTTATATTTTAAAACTCCAAGGATTATGTATAGTAATACAGTTTTCCAGCTTTTTTAAAAAGTCAAAAGCTCTAGCAAGGCTAAGCCCGTATTTGCATCTGACAGCGTGTATTACAATAGTGGGCTACAGAGAGATGTTGGCCTTTTAAGACATGGCTTGTTATCTAGTTTGCCACAGTCTCCACCAGGCCCACATGCCCCACATAAGTTGCCTGCATGCCCTGTGACACCCGAGTGTGAAACTCCAGTTATACTATGAAGAGTCAGGTCAATCCCACGCATGGTTGTGATTTCAGCCTGCCTCACCTCCTCTTTCAACACCCCTTTTGCATCTTTCAGCTTCACTTTTCCCTTATTTCTCAAAGTTTCCAAACTTGCTTCCTGTTTTCTCAGTGGAAAGAAACCTGACATGGTTGTGTGTTTTAACATAGCATACTTTGTATTTGCAGAGAAGAGTCTAGGAAAAAATTAATTGAAAGCTGTGAATCTTTAATGATGATTCTAAGCACAGTGAGGCATATTCTTGGCCACAAGACTTTACATCACTGTCATTCTGTCTGTTCATAACACAAGTCTTGGGCATATTCTTTGTATTAAAGCCTGAGAGACATATCCTTAATTAGAATTGAGATTCTTTTTTTTCTTAACACAGACATAATAACAGTGAAACATACTAACTAGTAAGTTGTTAGGTGAAAACGACAATGTGGTGGTTGAAAACTAGTCATTAAAGTTATTGGTTCTTTGATGTCCAATTCATGGCAAACTCTCAAGGTTATTTTGCCAAAGGAAGTCAAAGTCATCAAGCTGTGTTTTTTAATGGGGATTGATACACTTTTATGAAAGGAACTTTGTGGAATTTTTAAGGAACATCCATCTCTCTTCTTCCTAAGTACAGTAACCTTGCCATGGCCCTTTGAGGCTATTCAACACCAGTGTGAATTTGCTGCTCTCTTATGAATTGCACAACCCATCCGACAAATTATTCTGACATTTTCACCTAAATATCAAAATCTTTCAGTTACCCAAGAGAAGAAAACATCACCATCAAAAGCCTTTCTCATACGGAGTCTATGGAAACCACCAACCATTATATAGGAAAAATAACAGGCGCTGAAGTTTAGATTGGGGCATTCATCTTTCCTTTGTGATAAAAAGTTAGGCTGTTACTTGGGAACTCACTACACGCTTCATTGGCAGAAATGCTGTCTTTTCTGCTTGAAAGCGTGGGTACTTCAGAAGTGCCTCCCCTTGCTGGGATGAGTGAAAACAATATCATTTTCCCTGATAGCTGCTGAATTGAAGTGAAGGATTATTTATTTAAACTTTTGAAGCATGAAGCAAAATGCAGCCAGTGTGTACTGTGTCTGTCTTCAAAACCATAAGTCAGAGATAAGAGTTTACGAAGCGTTAGATCAGTAGGATGAGTCCCACTTTCTCATGTAAGCTCCGCAGAGCAGCAGGGTGCATTATCAGCCTCCAGATCCCCATTAAAACAAAGCAACGGTTTCAGCTCCTTCCTTTGTACTACTGCACAATTCCACTACCTCTCCTTGCTTCATAAAAATGTTTTGAATTATCCCACTACCGATTGTTGAAGAAAAGCCCTTTTATTACCTGCTAACAGCTAGTGTTATTACCAAGAATAGTGAGTCTGAAATCCTTTGCTCCCCACCCAGCCCCCAGCCAACCCCACATAACACCATAGGTTTGTCAAATCCCATCACATCAGTACCTACCTGCTCCTATGAGTTTTAGACATTCCTTAAAACCTGGCTTGGCTACCTACAGTCAGATCTCTTGCAGTAGAGCCTGCAAACAAGTTATCTCCAGAGCTACTTAAGCAGAAGTTCAAACTGCTAAAAACAGGTGTGGAAGGTGAAGTTTCACAAATGTCCTATAACTAAGTACAGTAACCCCCAGTGGCCTTTGAAGGTGCACAATTTTTCCTATTTTGTGCTATTCTCCAAAATACACTGCCCTACCTCCCTCTCTCATTTTAGCAAGAGGTGCTGTGTTAGTTTTCTATTGTTGCTATAACAAATTAGCCAGAAACACAATAGCTTCAAACAACATAAATGTATTCTCTCATTGTTCAGAAAGACAGAAGTCCAAAATAAATTGTATGGGGCTAAAATCGAAGTGTCAGCATGGCTGGGGTCTTTCTGGAGTCTCTAGCAAGAATTTATTCCTTGCCTCTTCCAGCTTCTGGTGGCTGTCGGCATTCTTTGGCTTTTGGCCACATCTCTTCAATCTCTGCTTCAGTTGTTACATTGCCATCTCTTCTCCAGCCAAATCTCCTTCTATTTCTCTCTTATAAGGACATTCGGGATTACGTTTGAGGGCTACCCAGGTAAGCCAGGATGATTTCCCCATCTCAAGATCACATTTGAAAAGCTGCTTTTATCATATAGAGTAGCATCCGCAGGTTCTGGAGACTAAGATATGGACATTTTTGGGTGTGGCACACATCATATGCCTACCACAGGCCCCAGTGCCAAGTAATGCTATTGCTACTCTTTTTGTCTAGGTAGTAAATTTTCTTTATAAATTTAGATGCCCAAAGAACACAGTGATTTATCAAAGGAGTAATTCTCTAAGGAAAAAATATTCAGGAGTCTTGTGGGTCCTCATAAATGGATGGTGCTCTAAATATTCAAAGGTTTTGATAGGTGAATCTAGAAAAAAAAATCGCTAATTCTACAAAGTCCTTTCCCCCCCAGCTCTTGGACTATGATTTCTAAATACCATTTTCCTCTAAAATGACCCAGAGCTCCTTGAAGAAATAGCTGATTCCAGGTTGGGTAGGACATCTACAAGATGAGCCTGAAACATTTTTCTGTGAAAGTTTAGAGTGTCTTCAAAGACTTCTGAGATCTCCGAAAAGGACTCAAGAGACAACTTACAAATGATCCCAATGGCCAATAATCCCAGTGATTGAAATTTATCAAATATACACAAATCCATGAGTTTAAACTGATATTTCAAAAGCACCTCCCTTATCACCTTTGAAGAATGCTGGAGAATCAACTTATTATTTTAATATTATGTAGATAAGGGAAAAAGAATCAAGTGTTTATCCTGCTTCTCTTTTATGAACTATATCCCAGATTCATCAAATAGTTAATAAGAGGAAGTTTCTCTTTATAGAATTATTTCAGCTGAAAAATAATGAAGGATTTATAGAATTAGAAAGAAAAATCAAGGTAACCTCTAATGAGTTAGTGAATTTGCAACCCCCAATGAGTCAGTGGATTGAGATAATGATCCATGACTGGTGATACTGCAAAAACTAAAATAACCAGGCAAATGTGACTCCTGGCAGAAGTAAATACCTACAGACTATTACTTGTCAAATAAACCTAATCAAAATTCTAGACATAATAACCAATATACAGGAAATACAGAGGAGAAAGGACCATTTGAGCATACCAGGTAGGTGCAATTTATAAAACTCATATGTGAGATACTCTTCAGTTCTACAGCTGTGGTCCTCAACCCCTAGGCTGTGGACTGGTAAAGGTCTGTGGCCTGTTAGGAATCAGGCCATACACCAGGGGGTAAGTGGTGGGTGAGTGACTGAAGCTTCATCTGTATTTACAGCTACTCCCCATTGCTCATATCACCCCTGAGCTCCGTCTCCTGTCAAATCAGCAGAGGTATTAGATTCTCATAGGACCATATGCAAGAGGTTGTGCACTCTTATGGGAATCTAATGCCTGATGATCTAGGGTGGA